CACAAAGTCTTTTACTCATGAGATGTGATCTTCCATGAACACATATTTTCTTGTTCCACTACTTCATTTGATGTACCATCTGAGTCAACTTCTTTTCCTCCAATCTTTCCTATAACCAGTTGTCACCTAGTTATAGACAGTATGTATTTGCAGTTGAGATGGCCACCATACCAACAACTTTTGAAGAGGCAGTGAAGCATGAACATTGGAGAAAGGCTATGAATGTGGAAATGGGGGCTCTTGATGCTAACCACACTTGGGATGTTGTGGACAGAACACCTGATCTCAGGGCTATTGGGTGTACATGGGTTTACACCATCAAGTTTAACTCAGATGGATCTATTGAGAGGTACAAGGCTCGAGTTGTTGCCAAGGGGTTTACAAAAATATATGGTATTGATTTCCTTGACACATACTCTCCAGTGGCAAAATTGAATTCAGTTAAGACTCTTTTGGCTCTAGCTGCTTCTAAGGGTTGGGAGATGTTCCACCTTGATGTAAGTAACGCTTTCTTACATGGAGACTTGATGAGATTGTCTATATGGAACTTCCTCCTGGTGTTTATGACAGCAGCAAGGTGTGCAGACTCAGAAAGTCTCTTTATGACCTTAAGCATACTTCTCGTCAATGGGTCTACAAGCTCACTCAAGCATTAATCAAGTTTGGTTTTACTCAATCACATAGCAATTATTCATTATTTTTCCATCATACTTCCTCTGGTTCATTAGTCCTGCTTGTTTATGTCGATGACATAATTATTGCTGGTGATGATCTACCTAGCATGAATGCTTTGAAGACGTTCTTGGCTTCTCAATTTAAGATATGTGATCTAGGCACTCTCCACTACTTTCTTGGCTTGGAGATTGCTAAATCAAGGGAGAGTATCCACATATCACAGAAGAAGTACTGCACTGATCTTCTTCTAGTTTTAGGGTATAAAGATTCTAAGTCTGTGGTCACCCCAATTGACATGAAGACACTTCTTTTTGCAGATGATAGACCATTATTGAATGATCCAAGCTTATACAGACGCATTGTGGGTCGTCTGCATTATTTAACAATCACTCACCCTGACACAAAGTTTGTTGTGCAACAACTTTGTCAGTACCAGGCTGCTCCTACTACATGCCATATGCAACTGACATACAGAATCCTCAAGTACTTGAAGACAACACCTGGACAAGGATTGTCCTATTCCTCTAAGTTTGATCTCCTACTTAGAGGCTACAGTGATTCTGATTGGGTTTCCTGCCCGGATACAAGGAGATCAACAACAGGTTATTGCATTTTTTTGGGCAAATCACTGATTATCTGGAAATCCACGAAGCAAGGAACTGTTTCACAATCTTCATCTGAAGCTGAGTACAAAACTCTAGCTCAGCTGACTTGTGAGGTTGTGTGGGTAAAGAGATTGCTACAACAACTTAATGTGAATCATCCGCAACCTGTGGCAATAGTCTGTGACAGTCGATCTACTATCTACATTGCCAAAAATCTAGTGTTTCACGAGAGAACAAAACACATAGAGATCGATTGTCATGTGGTTCGTCAATTTCTCCAGTCCAAGCTCATCAATCTGTTTCATCTGGAAACAGAAAATCAGATTGCAGACATGTTCACCAAGGGACTTAGCAGGTATCAACTTCAATTCCTTTTGTCCAAGCTGAACATACAGAATCTATATGCGTCAACTTGAGGGAGGATATCAGGATACATTCAGGTTTGGAATTGCAGTCGTGGAGGATCAACCATTGCTGACACTAGAAGAGCTCTAGGAACGTCGTCATTTTATCTCGGAAGCAACAGAAGAGCTGAGCTAGAACGGTGGCGTTTTGTTTAGTGTCAGCTGCCCCTTTCCGTTTTTACTATAAATAGACACCTGTGTTGATTTGATAGGTAGATAGGGCTCAAGATAGGGTGAGTAACTATGAGTAACCAAATCTGGACCCTTCTTTTAAGTGGCTGCAGATCTAAGGGTGGAGAATTAAAGGAATTTATTTTCCCTACTTTTCTTGATTGGATCATATCTTCTTCATTCTAACTCGGATTTCAATTTTTTTTTTTTTGCACAAATGGAACGAGTTCGTTGTGCTCTACAAAATGATATCCACTTTCAATATTTTTTGAGAAATTTTTTTTTCATAACTCTCGTTACCAACTCCATACCATATGGTATCTCCTTCGTTGTTTAGTCATTTTCGGAAATTTTTGCATAGAAGGAACGATTTAATCATGATCTATTGAATTTCAAAATTTTATGGGTGAAAAATTTTCATACCTCTCGTTACCAACTTCATACCATACTATACCACCCTGGTATGGGGTGGTATTTTTCATACCATATGGTATGCTGTTATTTAATACCAGTCAATACCATATGGTATAGACTGGTAATTTTTGGAAATTTTTGCATAGAAGGAACGATTTGATCATGATCTATTGGATTTCAAAATTTTATGGGTGAAAAAATTTCATACCTCTCGTTACCAACTCCATACCACTCGTTACCAACTCCATACCATACTATACCACCCTGGTATGGGGTGGTATTTTTCATACCATATGGTATGCTGTTATTTAATACCAGTCAATACCATATGGTATAGACTGGTAATAACGAACAAATTTTTTTTGTTCCAAAACATATCAAAGTGGATATCATTTTGAAGAGCACAATTAATCTGATCTAACTGTGCAAAAAAAATAAATTCCGAGTTAAAACGAGTGATATATCGTCCGTTAAAGATTAAGGGAAGGAAAATTAAAGGGTTTTCGAGGAGAGAGAAGGAAGCGCTGATGTGGCGAATTCTTATTGAATTATGCATAAAGTTACTCACTATTGGTTACTGACATGATCTGGACCCGGTAGATAGAATTGTTACCGTTATTATTAGTTTCTTTCTTTCTTTCTTTTCTCCCTGTACAGTCAGCTTAATGTACATATATAAGAAGCCCTTGAAGCAACCAGAAACTCTGCGGGTTTCACCACAAATCTAGTTCTTTACCAGATTTCTCAGTCTCCAACCGAACATCGATGGACTAATCACCACCCTGAGACTTCTTTCTCACACCATGTAAAAGAAACATAAGTTCGCTGGACGACCGACTAGTGATCCACTGGGATCAAGCATTTGTCTTCTCATTTTCATCATAGTCTTCTCGATTATGCCCTAATGTGTATATATCAATGCTGTCAAAACCGAACCGGAGTATGACCCGGTATTGTGAACGGCTCGGACTTTAGTGGTTCAACCGGTATTGAGCCGTTAAAAAACCGTTAGAGAACCGACACCTTATATAAAATATAATATCATAAGTAGAAAACAACTAAGGTAGTAATTTAACAATTTAATGACTAAAATGCAATTTACTTTACAGGTACCATTTAATAAATTTACCACATATATATATATATAACAACAAAGTAAAAACCCTAACTCTAATCCCCACCAACCCTTGAGAGCGCCGCTCACAGCTCTCCCCTGAACCCAACCACCTCCCCCCTCTCTCTTCTTCTCCATCTCTGTTTCATTTCTTCCCAAACTCTTTATGCATCTCTCTCTTACAACCACAATTCACAAATTCTCTCTGCCTCTCTCACCCTTACAGCGACGGAGATGAAGCGACAGGGTTGGAGGACAACGATCAGTTGGCTGAGCTCTTCTCTGCATACGAGGGTTGAGAACCCAACAACAACACTGCCGCCATCGGGAAGGAACACCGCGCTTCGATCGAAGAAGAAGTTGGAGTTCGATGGCGCTAGTGAAACCACAGAGGACGATGGGTTTGCCGGCAGCGGCTGCATCGTCGAGAAATCCCACCCCGGCGCGATTGAACCCTAGAAGCTTTCTGTCAAATTTTTTTTTTTTAATTCTAAACGGCCAAAACCCAAAAACCGGTCGGACGGTTCGAGCGGCTCAAATGGTTAACCATTTCAGCCGCTCAAAAACCGACATTTCTGACCGTTTCGGCTATTGGAGGCTTCCGACCCGGGCTGGTGTCCGGGTGCCGGTTTTACCGGTCCGACCGGCCGGCTCGGGTCGGCTTTAACAGCACTGGTATATATACATTTAAATGTTTCAATTCAAATGATATATTTATTGGTAATTAATTATGTCCATCTGTCTAATCAGATTAAAAAAAGAAAAATATATTACTTGACAGTTGAATAATACAGAGCGATTGAAAAAGTGGCAATTCTTTCCACTTTTTCTTTTTTACTCCTTTCGTGTGTGGATTCACCTGGAATTGGTTGACTAGCTTTTTAGGAGCTTTCCTTCCAAAAAAAAAAACTTTCTTGGAGCTCGCCATTTGGTTCAATCATGCACTCTCTCATCTCATCTCATCCCTGGAACCTGGGAAAGTTCAGTTTATTAGGCTAACTCCAATGGAGCCTCTATAAATGAGGGAGCCTCTATATTTGGGGGAAAGTTGACTCCAATGGAGCCTCTATAAATGGAGGAGTCTCTATATTTGGGGGAGATCTCCAAAAGGATCCCCAAATTTGGGGGTGGAAATGGGGGTTCCCCCAAATATAGAGACTCCCCAAAGCCCGCCATGTGGCATTTCTTTTTCTTTTTAAGATTTTAAGGGTTAATTAGGGTTTAATTAGGGGATTAGTTAGGGGTTTAATTAGATCAATAATTTTCAAGTGTTGTGTGTAAACCCAAATTAGGTCAATCATTTTTTGTCAACAAAAATTTGGTCTCAAAATTAAAAAAATTTCTACCGGAAAAGTTGTATTTAAAAATGAAGAAGAACTATACAAAAATTAACATGAACAAATTATATTAAGGCTTCGATAACTACATTTTTAAGTAAATGAAAAACTTAAAAAATAGAGATCTCCAAATATAGAGGATGTAGCATTGGAGCAAAAGAAGGGAAAATGGGGATGAACCCCAAATTTGGGAATGAAGATCCCCAAATTTGGGGGCTTGCATTGGAGTTGGTCTTATGGTGGGGAAAATGCATGCTTGACACCCTTTACACAGAAAGCACTGCAGCAAAAGAAAGGACCCTGCTGCTGCTTACATAAAAGATTCTATAATAGCTTTACAAACTTGGACAATGCTCTCTCACTCTCACACACTCCTTAATTTCCCTTTACAAACTTGATCTTGTCCCTTCTAAACACGCCCCTTCAATGACTGAAAGGTTCAGGCTTGAAAAAGGAAACCTGAACTAGGAACATGGTTCTCCAAGTACAGCTTGAAAAAGAGAATCAAATATCAAGAGTATCTTACAGCAATTACAAAGCCACAATCTGTGCTAAAAATGAATAAAGAAGAAAGAAACATCACAATCTGGTTTCTTTCTGCCATGTAAAATTTCAGTTTGTCAACAAGAAACAAAAAAAAAAAAAAAAAAAGGAAAAAAAGCAGTACCCTAAGCATTGGTAAATTCATCTACACTGCTGATTCTTGAAAAGGAGCTTCAGCAATACCTGGATTGTTCTTCTTTATTTATACACTTAGGCCATTGGTTGTGAAGAAACCAAATAAATCCTCGGTCTCGTTCTTCATTTGTATGATGGTCCTTTGTTGTTCCACACGCTGAAGGTGTGATGACAGCTGAAGCAAGTCAACTGTATGTTCATTCTCTGGAGAACCACGGTTCTTGGAATTCGAAACATCTGGTTTCACGTGAAGCTCAGTAGCAGCATGATCAGTAGTGACTTGGATGGTGGAGACCATTCGAGGCGAGCAGCACTTACATTTACCACACATACCTGAACTCTGGTAGGAGTGATCCAACCGACTAGAGGAAATGCCCTTAGGGTATTGTGCTTTGTGTGACAGAAGAGAGAGAGCACGGCTAGAGTGGGATGATACCCCAGCTAGCTCGTGTATGAATGATGAGACTGAGTAATCTGGTTGGCTTGCCAGCCACTGGTCACTAGTTATCGGAAATGCTGACTGAGGATTAAAACTTGGCTTTTCGTCAAACGAAGAAACATGACTGTACCGGTTAGCTTCTGGAAACAGGAATGAAGTTCTCTTAGGTAGAGGAGTGTCGATAAATCTACTGCCTGAAAAAATCCATGAACAGCATAAGTTTGTGGAGGTGGAAAAATGCTTAACATCTATGAAACTCCCTTTCAGAAAAAGCTTAAGGCAAGGAAATGATGAACAGCAGCAAATTCAGTGTGCATCCACCCAAGTTGTAAAGGATATTTAGGCTGATGGATTTGGGTCTTGGATAAACGTTGCTCCAAATCCTTGGATCATTAAGATGTCTTTTTATTTAATGGAAATTGGATGGTTTTGAACTGTTGGTAGGATTGTGGTAATAAAGAGCTATGCAAATACAAGTATGGGAGGATTTGGAAAAATTACCCTGGATGGTATTTCGAAATCTCTCCACCAGGGGTAAATAAATAACAATAATTAGACAGAAATGCAAGTAAAACGAGGGTTTGATAATACAAAAACCTGGAAGGAATATTTATTAATGCTAATTTGGTTCTAACGACAACTTATGGAATCTAATACGGAATCCACTTGAAAAAACAAGTCCATTAAACAATAGATTTTCACTATCACCGAGTAAAAATCAACCCTGTTTCAAAATCTGTCGACGTTCAAAGCTATTGATTTTTAACAATCTACCCCTTTCAATAATACACTAGCCAAACAACACCTATGCCTTGGAAAAAAATTTTAAGTGGTTAAGGAGTATACATTACATCATCAGTCTACTCTTGATACCTTGATATTGTTGCAGTAGCTTGTAGGCATTGTTCGAGAAGCCACTGAATTGAGGCTTCCTTCTCCTTTGATTGTGGCCTGCTAGGCGTTTTCGACAGCTACGCTTGCCATCATCAAACTCACATAGCAAATGGAACCTAAATTCATCAAAATACAAAGGGTTTAAGATAGGCTGTGGAGTATATTTTTAGAGTAAAAACTAAAACGAGAAATTCATGTAACACATAAACCAACCTGCTGCACTGCTGGCAAAATCTCTGTTGAATCCCATTAACAATGACCTTAGGAGTCTTAGTGTGGAGCTCACACACTTTATGCCGCTTGTGGTACTCCTTCAAGGACCTAAGATCCTTGTTACAACCATAGACCTGACAGAATGGAATCACGATTCGAGCTCTCTTCACTGGAGTAGCATGTTCCACAGAATGCAGCAGTGCTCTCTTATGGCAAAACTCACTGTTCTGTGCATCTATGCAGTCACCCAAACTCCCTAGCTTCAAATCAATAAGTGATGATGATCCCTGACTGCTGGGTGCTAAATGGGAGTTTGAAGCTACCAAGATATGCGAATCAAAACCCAGAACACTACCACCAAACATCTCCAAAACAGGGGTTTTGTTATCTCCATAAGGACTTATTGGCACATCATGCAAACCCGTACCAACAAATTCCAGGCTATCAATTGATTCCCTGTCCCATTCTCCCACTTCTGTTTGACTACTCGAGAACACGTCAACCGGGAATTCTACCTCATCAGTGAAGAAATGGGCTCTTCCTTCTGAAGCATAACTCCAAGACTCCATGTTTTTAGTAAAGAGCAGAAGTTGAACAACTTTCAGAGACCTGCTAGTATCCCAAAAAAACTGTCAATCCTAAAGCCAGGTTCATTTGCACTGTTGAACTAAGTTGACTAAATTTTGATTATTTTAAAGGGGGGGAGAAGCTGAGAAGGAACAACTCAGCAAGAAATATTCCCAGCAACTGTAATTCCCTAATTAAGTAAGTGGTGAAATCAACAGTAACTGCTATCAAATTCTGAGACCGCTATCTGGAATAAATTACTGCACGAATCATATAGTGATAGCGACTCTTGAAGGAAAATCCAACAAAAGAAGGGAAGCCAAAGGGAGCAGCACATAGAAAATGACAATATCGACCTACACAAAACAACAAATTAATTAACAATACGTCAATACCTAACTCTCTTCGTTCAAAATTTGATAATCTCACATCAAGATGAAAATAGCTGCCGAGAAACGGTAAATTCCATCATTTACATTTCACTTCCCCTCTATTTTTCCCAGCAACCAAACAGCAATGAGTCTATTCAAATACCTATACAACAGAAACAGGGATACCAACTCTCAGCAGCTTAATCCCAAAAAGGAAAAAACTTTAAAGCAATCGGCAGGATCATTAACTTGGTGGTTGAGAATTACAATTCAGGTAACTGGGATGCCCCAGATTCTAACAAGTCCACCCCCACCGGAGCTTCTCGGGAAACAAACGGCACACTTGAACGGTAAAAATCCAAAAGAAGGGAACAAAGTAAAATTGAGGATTAAAGCTCTTCGGTTTCGGGGTTACCGGAAAAATGGCGATTGACGAATGACAAGAAGCGAAGAATCAAGTAAGGAGGGGAGGGAAGGGACGGTTGTAGCACATGCAGTGGGAGTCGGCTTGATTTCCACAACTCACTCAGTCAATCTCTTTCTAATTTCTAAATCTCTCTTAGTCTGACTCTCTGTTTTTCTGCCTCTTACATCTGCAGCAAAAAAACATTGTAGGAGCTCTCTTTTGTAGCTTCACTTTGTGAAATCTCATCACCAATTTTGCTTTATTTCCTGCCCCTAACAAAGTTTGTTTATTCTAGTTTGATGTATTGTTGTAAATACATTTATAATATTATACATGTATTGTCGAATTTGATGCATTGTAAAATATAACGTTTGGTATGTGTGATTGTGTATGTCACTTCACCTAAAAGCTGAGACATAACAATCACTCATTTTGAGTTATAGTTTATGTCAAAACACAGAAACAATCCATGTATTGTTTCTCCTAAAAAATAAAGAGAACGATGCATTCTAAACAATACATACATAGTAACAATCTCACAGATTCGGGCCTGATTGCACACATTTTATCTCCGTTTCCCTTGAGCGTTTGTAGCATTTTGAACTCCTAAAAGGGTGATTTTACGCTAGGTTTTGTGCGTTTTAGTGTGTTTCAGGATCCAACAGGTGAAACCAGCCCCGGAGTCGAAAGTTGGACGAAAAGAGGAAAAGACTGGGCAAAGAGGGTGATCCAGGCGAGCTTCACGGGTTAGCATTAGAGTTCACGATCCCCTATGGCCGTGAACTAAAGCCCAAAACCGTGAATCGCGATGCGTCCATGGAGAAATCTGCAGTTACTGGCGTGAGACGAGTTCACGGTCAATAAGACCGTGAAGATTGAGGCCATACCGTGAACTCCTGATGGCGAAGCGTTGCGTTTCGACATCGCACTCTGTGTTCACGGACGCGTTGAAGAGTTCACGGCCGTGAACTGAGCCCGATCCTGTTATAAAGTGTGAGCTGAAAGGAAGAGAGAGGAGGGCCCAAGTGTGAGAAAGTGTCTTCTTCATCTTCATATTTTAGAGAGAGAAAGGACGAACCAAAGAAGAAGGAAGTATAGGGTTTGCTCCAAGTGGTGAATTGGGAAGAATCTCCCCAAGAGAAGATAAACACAAGATTAGAGGAGATTTGAGGCATCACCATGATGGTTTCTACCTCTTTCTCTTGTGTTCTTCCCCTTTCTAGCATAGAGTAGTACTCTTTTTCACTTGGGTGTTGTGAAACCCTAACTATTTGCCATGTAGTTGTAGTGTAACTTGAATGATTGTTTATGGGTGTTGTTTAATCTAATGATTGATGTATTTTTCATGATGATTGTGGATGTGTGTGCTTAGCAATCTAATTGGGCATTCTAACCTAGGTTAGAGGGTAAACCCCCCCTGTCCAAAAGAGGCTCAATTGAGTTGGGATTCCTTGGGCTTGACAAGCCACCTACCTAGGTTAATGTAGGGCAAACCTCTGTCTTGAATTAAGCAACTAGGTTAACCATGATTAAGCCGTCCAACCATTGGTTTGAGGGAGAAGGAAAGTCAACCCTTAATTGCCTTAACCAAGAGGGCTACTCTTGTAGCCTATAATGTATCCCTTGGTTTGGCAATTGAGAGTGTGGTCCTCGACCATAGTTGCACCTCCTAGCATTTCATGATCTCCTTGCCCATAACATCCCATTCGAGTCCACGTGCCATGGTAGTAGTCAGGGGGAAGCGACACCCGAGTGATCCTTCTCTTCTAGAGCTTTCAAACCATTTACCTTTGCTTTGTTTTGATTTAATACTCATAGTTTTCAACCAAAAACCAATTCGCTAGATAATGCTGAAAACAACGGAAGCAGGGGTACACGGGTCGGCCCGGGTTGATATTTAAACATACTTGCTCTATATTGCACCCATCTAAGGTTTATACTTGGGCTTAGGTGGGAATTTATTGTGATATTCGGGACGAGTCAAATTTTTGGCGCCGTTGCCGGGGACCTTCGGTTCGTTATTTTGAAAAAGTTGTTTGGTGTTAATCTAGCTTTTAACTTTCAGCTTTGTTTGTTTGAGTGTTTTGGTTGTGCTAGATGTAGTTTTGTTCTCTAAGTGTGTGCAGGAAGGTGCATGACCGGAGCAATCAGGCGCCCTTAGTACCGCTTGACGAGAACATCAACCGGACTCTTCGGCTCCTAGCTCGGGAGAGAGAGTTAGCGGAAGCAAGGAGGAGAAGTGAAGAGAGGGGACAACCATTGTGTCATGGAGTTAGTGGAGAAGAAGTTGAAGGAGTTGAAGGAGAAGTTGATATTGGAGTTGAGATGGCAGAGAACCAAAGAGAAGGAGCCGCCGCCCAGGCTCACGACCATAATGAGGAGGCGACCGAGGAGGAAGCTCCGAGGACAATGGGGTATTACATGGCCCCACGGTCGGCGAACATTCAGTCGCCTATCCTACACCCTCCCGTGGCGGCCAACAATTTCGAGATTAAGTCGGCCCTCGTGACAATGATTCAGAATAATGCTTTGTTCCATGGGCTCATAAGTGAATCACCGAGGGAGCACGTGCAACGATTTCTTGAGCTCGCGGGGAGTTTGAAGATTAATGGCATGCGGGGGAAGCTTTGCAACTAAGGCTTTTCCCTTGCTCACTTGCGGGGAAGGCACTTAGATGGCTCAACAACCGTCCGCCTCATTCAATTACCTCGTGGGATGATCTTATCAACAAATTTATGACCCGCTATTGCCCGCCTTCGAAGATGGCCGAGAAGAGAAAGAAGATCACTTATTTCGAGCAAGATGGAGATGAAACCTCGAGGGATGCTTGGGAAAGATTCTCCGATTAGTTTCTTCAATGCCCTCACCATGGGTTCGAAGAACAATTCCGGATTGAAACTTTCTACGGAGGGCTCATACATGAAGACAAGATTCTCATTGATTCTCTTTGTCAAGGGAGGCTAATGAATATGACCCCGCCACAAGTGACCCAATTGTTAGAAGATATGACCCACAAAGGTTATGATTGGGGTTTGACGAGAAGCGGGAAAAGGAGCAATGAAAGAGGAGTAAGAAGTGTGGGAGCGAGTGCTCCACTTGAGGCAAAATTCGATAAGTTGATCGAGGTAATTCTCGAGGATAAGAAGCATGGGGAAGAGAGCGGTGATGTCGTGCGATTGGTGTTCAAGCACGAACCATGAGTTGGCGGATTGTCAAGCAATGAAGGAAGCAAGCACTTCGGAGGAACAAGTCAATTTCGTTGCCAATGCTAGGGGGAACAACCCGTATAGCAATACCTATAACCCCTGGTGAGGAAATCATCCTAACTTTGCTTGGTCGACCCCGACTAATCCCCCGGTTTCCAAGGCCCTACGGGAAATTACCAACCTCGGCCAACCTTCATTCAACAAAGGCTACAATTTCAAGGCTCGAACTTCCAACAACCTTACCAAGTACAAGGTGGAAAATGGTTTCAACAACAACAACAACCCGGCAAGCTATCCAAACTTGAAGACCTTGTGAATATCTTTGTGAGCACCAGTGCTCAGAAGTTCGAGAAGATTGAGCAAATTATGGATGTGGCAACTACCAAGTTTACCTCGGTTGAGGCGGGACTCCGAAGCCATCTAGAAAGCCTTCAAATTTTGGAGGTGAAAATTGGCAATTTTGTCGGTATCCTCACCGAGAGACCAAAGGGAGCCCTACCCTCTCAAACCATTGCCAACCCCAAAGATCAAGCCGGGTGTAATGCGATTTACTTGAGAAGTGGGAAGGTGACCCCGGGAGTTGTTGCTAAGGAAGTGATTGAGATGGAAGACTCCAACCCCGAGGATGGAGATGAAGAGCCCTCGAAGGGAGAGAAATAAGTGGCAAGGAAGGCATCGCCAACACCATCTCCGACGGCTGAGTATAAGCCACCTCTTCCTTTCCCCACAAGGGTGTACAAGGAGTGGTTGGAAGCGGAGTGTGGGGCCTTCATGGAGATGCTCTGAAATCTCCACCTCAACATCCCCTTCCTCGAAGCTATGGCTCACATGCCAAGATAGGCAAAGTACCTCAAAGGATTCCTCACCAAGAAACCGAAGTTCAAAGACCTCACCAATGTGACTATAGGTGAGGAGTGCTCGGCCTTCATCCTCAACTGGTTTCCCAAGAAGCAACCCAATCCAAGTAGCTTCACTATCCCTCTTAGTATTGGTAACCATCACATAGAAAATGCCTTGGCGGATTTAGGAGCAAGTGTGAATGTGATGCCCTATAAGGTATCCAAAAGGCTAGACCTAGGTGAACTTAAGACCACTAAGCTTAGTGTCACATTAGCCGACCACTCGGTCATTGATCCTAGGGGCATTGTGGAGGACATGCTAGTACAAGTGGGCAAGTTTTGCTATCCGACGGATTTTGTGATCCTTGATATAAGTGAGGACTCGTATATGCCACTCATACTAGGACGTCCCTTCCTTGCCACCGCCAAGGCGTTAATTGATGTTAATGAGGGGACCTTGATTATGAGAGATGGTGAGGAGAGGATAACTCTTGAAATTGAACCTAAGGCTAGGAATGAGGAAGTGAAGGAATTGGTGTCGGATGATTTGAATGTGAGTGGAGGAGAGCCTCTCAAGGTGAACCCCACTATTACTTGTGTTGCTTGTGATGATGTTAAGCAGGAAGTTAAGGAGGGTACTATGCCCAAAGAGAGGAAGAAGAAAGCTTGGAGGGAGAAGATGAAGAAATCTTTGCCCGAAAGAAGGAGAAGGGCAAAGCTAAGGTTCTCATCCAAAAAGGCCACCCCATGGAGCTTAAGTTGGGAGGCTACATGCCTCGCCTCAAGAACGTGGCGGATCCACCCTCGGTAGCATCATGTTCCAAAGCATGATAGATCCGCAACGTCAAGCTAGTGACGTTAACTTAGCACTTGTTGGGAGGCAACCCAACGGAGGTTTGTTTTATTTTTCTTATTTTCGTTTTTCTATTAAGTGAAGAGTTCAAGTGGTCGAGTGGCATCCCCGTGCCAAGTTTTGTGGTTTTGCGTTTTGAGGTTGTGTTGTGATCGTTAGGAGGCACGGTGGAATAGGTCGAGTCAAAATTTTCTCAGAAGTGTCCTATTTTCACTCGAGTTCACGGACGGATTTGAGTGTTCACGGTCTTACAAGACCGTGAACAAGCAAACGTGTCTGTG